TCTCGTTAGGCCTGATTTGCCCCAGCTGTGTTTCCCTCCTGTTACCCATTGCCTGATTGCTCCCTCTGTGTATTTTAGCCCCGTGTTTCTCTGTGTCAGTGTCGTGATCTACTTGCATTCATGCTGTGTGTGCTGCCTGAGTTTATGTTTATATTTTGAAGTTTGTTACTTTTGAGTTCACATTTTGTCTCTGGAGTCTGTACTGTAGGTCCTCCATTTCACCACTCCTGCCTGCACGCAGCCTTCACATGACACAGCTAAAACACTGCTTTTCATTCTCTGAACCAAATTCTCAATTTTCTAGGGAAAGTCACTGAATCAACCATCTTTTTAAAATTGGGTTTAATACAGTTTGTGTATCTCTTGCAATCTTGTTTGCAAAACAGATGATCATTTAATGGCACACCTTTTTGCACAGTTACACACTTTTCGTACCTCTCGCGCTATGACAGCTGGGATAGGCTCCAGCGCCCCCCGAAAAAGAATAAGCGGAAGCGAATGGATGGATAAACAGTAAATCATGTTTTTACACATGACACGAGACCCCAATGAAAAGAAATAGAAGACATACAATATAATTTTAATAGATATAATTATATTAGATATGTTTATAATGTATACACATACACCATGTATGTACACAGTTCTGAAAACACAAAACTCAAAATATTTTGGGCACTTTCTAGGGTGTGTAATTTTTCACAGTTACTTGAATAAAGAAGCTGGTTCAGGACTTCAGTTTTTACCAGAGTATTTTTAAGTGTTTGTACTTCTACTTTAGTGAAGAGTGTCTATTTTGTCACCTCTGTTAAACACCACGATTAAAAGACTGATGAAGAAGTTCAACTTGTGAAGAGAAAAAAGCCTTACAGACATTTTTATTTCTGCTGTCCCGTGGTTTGTGTTGAACCCTTTGAACACACTGACTGAAAACCCAAAATAAATACTGTCCACGGGTCACTGCAAGACCAGCAGATAGACATGTGACAACTATGTATGTATGTATTTCAAAATGCTAAAAATTCCTTCTGATATATTATAATGCATGTTTTATTAAAGAATGTATCTTTAAGATCATAACAATCAAATTTTGGTTCATAATCTCATCAAGTAACAGGAAGTTAACTTGAAATTCTGGTTCTTTAACTCTTTAATAAAACCTGTCATAATTAATTTTGTAGTTTTGCGTAAAAAAGGTTTTGTTAGGTTGAAATTGTTAAATGTTGTCATTGTGTTACTTTAATTGTGTGATCAAAGACATTCTGTTTCTGTTCCCCTCCCCGCCTGCTGAATGGTGGGGGAGACAGTTAGCTATAGTTTTTACCTGCAGACATTTCAAGTAAGGTTCTCGTGTCCTTATTTAGTGAGGATGTTTTACTTCCTGCTCTTTATCTCCTCACCTGTGTTTGTACAGGGTAAACCTTTGGAGGAAGCTAAGCCATATACAGGGGTGAGGGGAGATGATCACCAGTTTTTGCTTATCCGTTTCTTGCAAGTTAAGAAACGGTTAAAGTGTTCTGTCCTGCTTTGTTCACAGGAATAAGTCTGAACAGGCAGGCCTGCTGAAGCGCAGACCCAACAGTTTTGCTGACTGGAAGCTGATGATTGTCTTCAGCAGCTGGACCTGGCTGTGATCCCAGAGCTAACTGTAGCAGGGTTGTAGCACTGTATTACAACCCAGATTTCCCACTGGGTCTAGGCTGACTACTTTCTAAGCACCAACGAATAGTTTTATAAAACATTTACAAGAAATTGCTAAAGTTGAGATTTAGTAGAACAATAAAGACGTTAGAGAAAGCACCAGGGGAATGGTATGACTTTTTATTGTTTATTGTGAATATCGCTTTAGCTGAAAATCCTATTATTCCTAATAATTACAGTCAGAAAAATTCAATTCAATTTATTTATATAGCACTCTGTACAGGATAAAAACCACAAAGTGCTTCGCAGTAATATAAAAGCAGATATACATAAAAACAGCACAGTCAAACGTTCAGCACAAATGAGTCTTAAGCTGCTTTTTAAAAGAATAAATACAATCAAGGCAACGTAATGATGGAGGGAGCGCATTCCACAACCTGGCGCCACCGCTCTAAAACATCTCCTCTGGTCTTAAAACGTGTTCGAGGAATTTTTATGGAATTTCTTTTGCTTATCAAGCCAGAAGCAGGGTGTTAAGTTCTTTGTATTTTTTATTTCTCCTTATTTAGTAACATTTTATGTGCCCAAGAGAGGAGGAGAAATTGTAACAATTACAAAAATCAGCTGGCACAAATACAGCTGCTAAACCGTACATGTTTGAGTGAATACAACCAGCCCGTACCCAACCACAAAACAATGAATTTCAAATCAATTTTAAGAGTAATCTCGTTGTCTCATATCTATTTTGTTGATCCTTTAAATTGACTTAAACTATTAAGTCTATTAAGTCACAGTAACAAGTTCTGACAGTTTTATTTTGTTCTACAGACTATTCTAGGAACAAAGGGCAGTATTTTTAAAAATGATATTTATTTTTTCCCAACTCTGTTATGAACTCTGAGAATAAAAAGTATTTCTTGTTTGACTGTGTTAACTTTAAACCTCATTTTTTGGCAATGTGCAGTAATCAGAAAAACATTCCCCTTTGTTGTTTTAGCTGATAGAAAGGCAGTCGGGCTGGTTGAACATTTGCTGAACTCCACAGTAGAACATCCACAGGCTGAGGAGCTGGGTTTGAGTACCTCACCACCAGCTTTGACAGAACAGCTTTGACAGTTGATGTTTGCATAATGTGGCGAGAAAGCACAGAGTGAAGGTTGGCTCTAACTTAAATTGAGTTTGCTGCATTTTCTGAGTCTGACACCTGGAGGTGCTCCTGTGTATCCTCACAGGCACAGACCTTCAGTAAGAGAATGACAAACATTGTTTATACACAGTCACAACACTTGTGATATGAACTGCACTACAAATTACAACTAAAATAATAATTATACCAAATTGTTACTACTGGGTACCTGTGTTTGAGACAATAGAGAATACATACAATA